GACAACGGTCATGACACAAGGATCCGAAATGGGTGGTATCTAGTCTCTTTGAGTCTTTAGGATCCCTCTTTTGGCTTTGGATTCGGCCTTCGTGTATTTTTTACTTTGAAAGAAATTGAGATTTTTGAATTAAACTTTGACAAAGAGTGTTCTAATGAGTAAAGATTGAATCATACACATTTCAACATTCATAGTGAACACAGCTCCCAAGACAAAGACGAATCAACCAGCCTCTCCGATCTCATCCACCACTTCCTTGAAGACGACACCACCGCTCACTCACTGGAGAACGAATCCAATTTCGAGCTCGATCCATCAATATCCGATCCAACGGACGTGATCGATTACCTCATTTATCCAACGATCTCTGATTTTATTCATTCGTTCAAGAATGCACTCGACGCTTATGTTTCCAGAGCTGTAGTTACGCTCTCGAGTGCTAATTCGAAGTTAAACAAATTAATTTCCAGCAAAACGTGATGGTTTTTCTCCGATTTTGGGGACACAATGTGGTGATTTACAAGACGAGGTAGGAGAGCTTCGGCAGACTGACCATCGGAGGTTACGAATTCTTCGACATCGTAATGTCGGAGTCTGCCGTGTCGTTGCGCTGGTACTTCATCGACCTCGATTTCAACGGAGAGTTCAAGATCGCAAGGTCTACGTGCGCGTATGAGTGTGTGTTACAGGCTTTGCCTAGGGTTTTTGTCAGTAGGAGTGAGGAGTTGAAGTAGGTCGTGAAGGTGATGAGCGACGCCAGTGAGACGGTCATTGAAGAGCCGTGGTCTGCACCTTCCTCTGTAAAGGAAGAACCGTTACATGCAGAACAACTGATTCGGGTCGTACCGCCTGACGGCAAATGTGATTCCGGCAAACTCGTCGTCTTTGTTGTCGCTGGTGGTGCCGATGCTAGTTGTCAAATGTTGATCGATTGGATTTGACATCGTGAAGGGGCGTTTGTTGTGTCCCGCCACAACTCGTACCTGACTCGATCATATCTATGCAATTAATTTTAAAACTCATACGAATATTATATCTAGTTGTAAGTATATTTTGTTTGGGATGCGGCAAATGCACATCGGAAAGCCAACGGAGCGTAGCATATCACATGCAAACAGTTCATGTTGATGACTTCGAATCTCACTACAACGCAAAATTACTTTAAATTTTTTCTAATTTTAAATAACGTGTTAAGCAAGTGATATAAATGTAAAGTCCACCTATTGTTAAAATAAGCTTTGAAGCCCAGTAAAAATTAGAGGCCCAACAAGAAAGACCCGAAAGCATGTCAATTTAGGCCAACTGGTGAAAGAAAGCCCGGTCAACAGAAGCAGACCAAAGAATAGCCCAAGATCAGCACATTCAAACATTCATAATGCCCACAATAAAAGAGAATATCGTATAATGAGGAGGCATAAACGTCCACGTTCGAAAACTGCCAATAACGGCTTCATATAAATCTTTGCTCATAATCTTCTTGGATTTTTTTTTTTTAGTGTTCGGGTGTGAAAAATTACACCTACATAAATTAGTTTAGAAGAATTTACGACAATATATATATATATATATATATATATATATATATATATATACACACACACATTAAATATTGTATATGTGTTGTCTCAATACTTTATAGTATTGTACTAGTCTCCCTGTTGTCATTTCATAGATGTGAAACTTTGGTTTCCTTTACTGATTACTGTTTCAATCCATTAAAGCATTAATTTCATATCTGCCAAATGGACTTTCAATGTGTTGTATGGTATTGCAGTTCATTCAGCAATCTTGAGAAGAGTAATGATACTCTCTCCGATCAAATTGGTCTACTCCTAGTCTGAATCTTATGGGTAACTGCTACGTAATTACTTAAATCGTTGATATTTTATTTGAATGCTAAAGATACCAAAAATAAAAATAAATATGGAAAGAAGTTGAAGAAGTTTTAACACCCCTCTCTATCTCTCTGATTTCTCTATTCATCTTCTTCATTATGTTGTTTTCTTGATTCTTTCTCACTCTGACTTGCGGTTCTTTTTTTCCAATTTGCAAAATTGAAAGGAAAATAAAGCATTGAGAAGTCTCTATTGGTTAATAAAATCAAAGGGGAAAATACATATAAACGTATATGTTTGCTTGAAGAGAAAAAAAAAAAACCCTAATAAGATTGAAAGTATGTATTCATGTTTCTTTTTTTTTTTTTTATTTCAATAAATATTTTGGTTTCTATATATTATATTAGTTTTGGAGATTAGATTAAAATAAAATAAAAAATAAAAAAAAGAGTTTATTACGAAGTACGGCCTCCCAAAGGATCTACTCCTAAAGGCTGTCAAGTCCTACCCACTCCTCTAACGCCATGTTCATCATCTAACTTCCTGTTACGTTTCTTTTTCTTTTTTTCAATATATATTTTAGCTTCAGTATATTGTGTCAGTTTTGTGGATTTGATTATAAATAAATAAAATAAATAAATAAATAAAAAATAAAAATAAAAAAAAAACTTCAAAAGTTCATTACGAATTGGATGCGCTCTCTCTTTAATCTTCAATTTGACGCCTCCACCAGACCCATCATCAACTCCTCACCGAAAGAATCAAGGAAGCAGTTAAACGAAGAAGTTGAATAGAAAAATAAGAGAGTTGGAGACTGGTAGTCAAAACCTCTTTAATTTCTTTCCATATTTATTTTTGGTATCTTTAGCCACTATTTAGGTAATTACATGGCAGTTACACATAGGATTTAGATTAGGAGTAGGCCAATTTGATCGGACAAGTATCATTACTCTTTTGAGAAACAATGGAATGATGATAATTGAATCCACAACTTGGAATAATAATAATAATATTTAAAAAAAAAAACAAAAAAACAAAAAAACCAAACAAAAGAACCTGCAGAGGAAGAAATGCACAACATAATTTAGGAACAAAAATCGTATAAGGAAAGTGGAAATATTTAACCTAGTGTGATTAGGCCTCCACACGTCTCTATTTTTTATTTTATTTTATTTTATTTTATTTTATCTAGCCAAATTAAGCCTAAGGTAATATTTTTCTTTTATTAACTTAAACTCAAATGTAGTTGAATTCCCCATGCCTGTTTGCTTTTTAAGAAAATTTTAGAAATTTGAAACAAATAAATGAAGTTGTTAAACCGCATTGAATTTAATATTATTAAGATTTGCTTATCACATTGTTTATGCTTGTATCGTGTTATTCTCATGTATTAATAATAAATTTTTTAATGTTAAATAAATTACACAATGAAAAATTTATTTATTTTTCAATAACTTCATTCGTCAAAATCTTAATTTTATTTGAATTTGTCAACATTATAATATTTATTGAAATTCATCAAATCCCATTCATTTTAAAATCCCACCTTTTCCAAACATCTTAAATCCATTTCCGAATCCAATTTTATAATTCCAAGAGTAAAAACCATGAATAGCCCAAAGACAAGGAGTTTATTTACAAATAGAGAAAATATATTGTCGGAGTAAAGCCACAAAAAATCACAATAATAGTTAATAAAGGAAAGTGAATGGGTAAAAACCAAGAATAGACCAAAGAAGAGGGGTTTAATTATAAATAGAGAAAAAAGTCAATTTAAAAGCCGCAAAAAATCACAATAGTAGTTAAGAAAGGAAAGTGGAAATAGGTATAAACCAAGAATAGCCGAAAGACAAGGGGTTTAATTAGAAATAGAGAAAATATATAGTCGGTATATAGCCACACAAAAAATCACAACACTGTTAAGAAAGGAAAGTGAAAATGAGTAAAAACCAATAATAGTCCAAAAAGAAGGGTTTAAGAAAATAATCTATAAAATCACGATACTAGTTGAGAAAGGAAAGTGGAGCCTCTATTTAAAACCCCATCACTTCATTTACGTGGCAGTTACACATAGAATTCGGATTAGGACTAGGCCAATTTGATTGGACAAGTATCACTACTCTTTTGAGAAATAATGGAGTGAAGATAATTGAATCCACAACTTGCAATAATAATAATATTTAAAAAAAAAAAAAAAAAAAAAAAAACTACAGAGGGGGAACTGCACAACAAAATTCTGGAACAAAAATCGTTGTGATAATATTTAACCTAGTGCGAGTAGGTCTCCACTTGCCTTTATTTTTTATTTTTTATTTATTTATTTTTATCTAACCAAATTAAGCCTAAAGTAATATTTTTCTTTTATTAACTTAAAATCAAATGTAGTTGAATTCCCCATGCCTATTTGCTTTTTAAGAAAATTTTAGAAATTTGAAACAAATAAATGAACATGTTAAACCACATTGAATTTAATATTATTAAGATTTGCTCATCACATTGTTTTTGCTTGTATCTTGTTATTATCATGTATTAATAATAAATTACACAATGAAAAAATTATTTTTCTTTCAATCACTTCATTTTTCAGAATCTCAATTTTATTTGAATTTCTCAACATTATAATATTTGTTGAAATTCATCAAATCCCATTCCTTTTAAAATTCCACCTTTTCCAAACATCTTTCCAAATCTAATTTTATAATTCCAAGAGTAAAAACCATGAATAGACCAAAGACAAAGAGTTTATTTACAAATAGAGAAAATATATTGTCGGAGTAAAGCCACAAAAAATCACAATAATAGTTAATAAAGGAAAGTGAATGGGTAAAAACCAAGAATAAACCAAAGAAGAGGGGTTTAATTATAAAAAAGAGAAAAAATCAATTTAAAAGCCACAAAAAATCACAATAGTAGTTAAGAATGGAAAGTGGAAATAGGTATAAACCAAGAATAGCCCAAAGATAAGGGGTTTAATTAGAAATAGATAAAATATATAGTCAGTGTAAAGCGGCCACACAAAAAATCACAACACTGTTAGGAAAGGAAAGTGAAAATGGGTAAAAATCAATAATAGTCCAAAGAAGAGAGGTTTAATTAGAAATAGAGAAAATAATCTTAAAATCACGATACTAGTTGAGAAGGGAATGTGTAGTTGAGAAAGGAAAGTGGAGCCTCTATTAAAAGCCCCATCACTTCTCTTCCTCCCCACGGAATCCTCTTAAGCAGAGTCCAGAGAGGGTTTGAGAGAGTGTGTGAAGTGTGTGAAGTCATAGTTGGAGAGAGATCAAGGGAAGAACCCTTCTGTCGTTCTTATTGTGCCCTTTTACATGGCTCGTCAAGGGAATTTCTTCTCTGTCTTGATCGGAGAAGAAAGCGAGGTTGATGCCGCAGACCTCGCCGCAAAGATCGAGGCGGAGCGGCTGAGGAAAGAAAAAGAGCGGCTGAAGAAAGAAGAAGAGCGGCTGAAGAAGGAGGAAGAAGAACGGCGGTTGAACCCCCATTATGGTATAATTCCGTTCTTCTTGTTCTGTATGTATAAGTTTATATTTTAAATCCTGTTTATATTGGTATGTATTTATTTGTTTATACAAATTTATATAATGCTCATGCTCTTAATGTTTTGTGGCTTTTGTAAATTGATCTGATTAAACGATGTTAATGGATTCTGAAAGAGGTTTATTTGATAGGGTGAGCAAGATTGTTGGGTAATTAAGATTTTATCTTTATCTACTTCTATAATTTATCGGAGATAACTTCTCTAATTTATGTAAGATTAAAAATTTTACAATTGGGTTTTTTTAGTTTAGGGTTCTGTTTGGGTGCAATTCTTTATTCTGTATTCAGTTTCTAATTCAGTAGATTGTTATCGTTTAGTGCTGTTTGGGTGCAATTCTTTTATTCTTATTCAGTTTCTTAAAAATTAAAAATTTTTGTGTGATAATGGTGGTGTTAATTAATTTCAGTCAAATCTGAGACAGTGAGAGGAGGAGGCAGTGGTTATCGCAGGAATAATGGAGGTTATCGCAGGAATAATGGAGGAGCTGATGGTTATCAACCCAACTATAAAGGGAATGCAGGGGCTGAAGGATATAGGAGGAATAATGGACCAGTTGCTAACTCTACAAATGGTGGTGGACGCGGATGTGGCCAGGAGGAGCGAACTTGGGGCATGGGATATTCACGGCCTGCACCAGTAGCTAACTCTACAACTGGTGGGAACAGGGGGGCCGAAAATTCACGGCCACAAGTAGCTGCTGCTGTTCCTTCAGTTGAAGATCCTCTTCACTTTCCCGACCTGGGTAAAAAAGCTGTGAAAGCATGATTTTTCCAAGACAAGTTTCTAAAATCCCCTTTTATCTTCTCCATTATGTCCCTCGTTAATGTATTCTTTCTAGCGACAAGTTGGAGAAAATTTTGAATTGCTTTATAACATAAGTATTTTGTTTATTCCATATGGTTTACCATTCTCATCGTTTGTCAATTACTTTCCCAAATTTATGTTTGAAATTTAATGTTTTCTGGTCATATCAATCTTCTCTTCTTTTATTTTATTTTCTTTTATTTTTTCTTCTTGTATGTTTCGCAATGTTGGTCACATCAATGCACTTGGACACCCTTAAAAAAGAGCTAAAAAGCCAATTATGGTTTAAAGTAACATAACAATATTTTCATACTTGTTGAGGGAAAATATTTCATCAACAAAAGTATAAAATAGATTTTGACAAAAAAAAATTTAAATTATCATTAGCGTACTACTTCATCAACAAAGCTATAGATTTTTTATGAACTGATTATTCAAGTTGGTCTTTTTCTCTCCAAGTCTCTCTATTATATAAACAAGATAAAAACTTGGGGAAAGTATGATTTTTTTTTACTCTGTTTCTCACTAGAAATAGAGTCAATCATGTAATGAAATTAGTAAAATTAGTGAAGGGAGTTCATATGGATCAAAAAAGGCAAGGAAATGATGATGGATGATCATATTTTAATTACATTTTTTTATAATTCTTTTAATTTATATTAATTAAAAAACTGAACTTTAATACTATCTTATATCCATGCACATGGTACGCATAAGAACCTAATTTTTTCTTTTTCTTTTTCTTTTTTAACAGGACATAAGAACCTAATTAACTCACAAATTTCAAACAATTTCATAAAAAATGATTTAATTCTTAACTGCTTAATTTATATTTAATATATTTAAATATTTAACTATAATATAATAACATTGAGTAAAATTTAGCACAAGTACAAGTAATTAACTTCTCATCATCATCATTCTTGTTTTAATTCCACATGTGATGCACCGATTTTTCAGTCTCTACTTTTTCTTTTTTATTAATTCTTTCTTTGATCTCCAATGTATGTCTTTCACAAGCCCTAATTGGTAAACTAGGCATATGTAATTTAGTCCTTTAAAAAAAGTCACAGTAACAGCTTAATACAAACTCACATCCGGTTTGAGCTTTCGTGAAAGCATAGGTGAGTAAGTTTGCTTACTTAACTTCTTTTTGCAAAAAAAAAAAAAAAAAAAAAAGAGAAATGATTCAAAAGAAAAAAAAGAATGATGTATCAACGTCAACAGCCCAATACAAATTCACACCCAAGTTTTGGTGAAAGTATGGGTGTGTAAAAGAATCATGTACTACGCTCTGTTTGATGAGATGGAATCAGCTAAAAAGTGAAGGAAACAGAAAATTTAAATTTTTTGTTTTTTAGAGTTTGGATAAAATTTAAAGTTTGAATACATCCGCCTATTTACCCTCAAAACTTTTCTAGCACAAAGGAAGCTAAAAAATATTTTCAGACCTCTTTATTTTACATTTCTATTGTTATTTTATTATTCTATTAGTTTGTGTAATGAAAGCAATTTAGGTATTTTTAAGTACCTTTCATGCTATCAAAAACAAAGGCAATAAAGGCAAATTAGGTTTTTAGGCAAATTAGGTTTCATGCTATTTTCTTGGTATTTTTTTTCCCGGTACTTTGTATAATAACGGCACGTCGGTTTCAAGTCTCCTAAGCCCAATTTGACATATACTGAGTAGGGGAGAAGGTTAACACTTGCTCCTAAGTCTAGAAGAGCCCGATTAATGACATGGTCACCAATGATGCAAGAGGTAGTAGGTGAACCGGGGTCCTTAAACGTTAGGAGAGTGTTGTGTTGCAAAATGGAGCTCACTTGCTCGATCAAAACCACTTTCTTTGGTGTTTGGCTTTTATTCTTCCTCTTTTAGGTGCAAAGATCTTTCAAGAACTTGGCATAAGCTGGAATTTGCTTAATTGCATCTAAAAGTTAAAGATTAATCTTCACTTTGCTAAACATTTCAATGATTTCATTGGTCTTGGTCCTTTGTTTTTCAAGCGAAATGGATCCTTTCAAGGCATCCGAAAATGGAGCTCTTGGCTCAAAAACTTTTTCAAAATTTTTCTTTGAAGAATCTTCAACACAAGAATTTTTCAAACTGTCACAAGAATCTTTTAAATCATCTTTCAAAACTTTGTTCAAATCATTTTCCATTACTTTTTCAATAAAGGGGTCATGCACATGCAATGAAGGAGGAATAGAATATGAAACGGGACGGGTGTCAACTTTTGGTTGCACCGGTTCACTCACTTCATTGGACATACTCATATGTTCAATTGTATGACCTTCCGATGAGGAATGAGTCTCCACAACACATTATTACTTTGGTGGTGCATTCAAAGGCATCTTCCCTTTCTTTCTAGCATTCAAAGTACTAACAATGGATTAGGAATGGGAATGAAGCAATTGAGTATTCACCTCTGGAGTGCCTAGAGCGGTCAACACTTTCTCCTCAAAAGCGGGACTCCTAGAATTTCCTTGAGAATATGATGATTGGTTAGGAAAATGAGAATTAGAAAATTGATTTCCATGTGATGATTGAAAAGAAGATCTAAAACCTTGGGAACCTTGGCTTTGCATTGGTGGTGGAACATACTTGTTTTGAATCCTTCCCCTTGGCTTTCCCAATAGAAGTTTGGATGGTTCTTCCAACTTGAATTATAATGAGTGCCATAGGGATTATTCCCTTGATTAACAAATGTAGCATTGACTTGCTCATGGTTCTCGCTTTACACATGTCCATGGGGACAATTGGAAGTAAAATGCAAGACACTTGAACAAGTCATGCAAGATTCATTAGATGCACGATGATGAACAAGATTAGGGGAGGAAGATACTTGATTCGCCGAAGTTTGGTTAATCAAAAATTGATCAAACCTTTGAGATAAGGATTTCATCTTGGCGGTTATATCATTGGAGTTGTCAACTTGATATAAGCCAACATTCTTCCTTCCACCTAGGTTTCTACCATTTTTAAAAGATAAGGATCTATGTATTGAATTCTCACTCATACTTTCATACAATTGCCACATATCATTCTCATGCTTGTCAAAATAAAAGCCACCCAAGGATACATCAACCATACCCATGTGATTATCCGGTAAACTTTCAAAGAAATATTGAACTAGTTACCACTTAGGTATGTCATGATGAGGGCACTTTCTAAGTAACTCATTAAACCTTTCCCGTGCCTCATGAAACATTTCCCCATCCTCTTGAGAAAATTCTCTAATTGAAGTTCTCATGGCATTGATCTTTGAAACTGGATAGTACTTTTTCAAGAACTCTTGTTGCATTTCCACCCAAGAAGTTATCGAAAAAGTCCTAAGATTGTTGAACCAATACTTTGCCTTGTCTTTAAGGGTGAAAGGAAAAAGTTTAAGTTTTAAAACCTCTTCTGGCATGTCCGTGTATTTCACGGTGGAACACACTTCAAGAAACTCATCCAAATGCTTGTAAGGTTCTTCACTAGGAAATCCATGATAGTTTGGAAACATTTGAATAGTTTGTGGTTTAATCTTATAGTGGTGTTCTCTAAATGGGGGCAATTGAATGCAAGTGGGTGCATTATATTCATTAGGCACATAATGGTCTTTTAAAGCAGTCGGAGGATTCACAATTGGTGGTGTTAAACGAATAACTTAATTAGCTTGAACCATGGGAGATTATGGAGCAAAAATTGGCTGAGGCATTTCCAATGGAACTTGGCCTTATTGTTATGGTGGAATGAATGGTCTAGGCATGCCCAACGATACTTGAATGTTTTTTTTTATGCACATTAGGGTGGAGGATGCCTTGTTGGTCTATGTGACCAAGGTCCTCCACATGGTCGTCATTCAAATCCTTCATTGGTGAAATGGAGTGATGAGAACTACCTCTTCCTCTAGGATTACAAACAACCGATTCAATATGCAAATTAGGAGGGCAAGAGTAGGATTCAATGACCTACGACTATACATACACTAGCAAAACAAATAACAATTACTTCGCCCCCACAACAAATCAATCAACAAATCTCCACATACAATGATCCCATGCTCCCATGCTTGAACAACATGCAAAGAAAAGCAAATTGCCTCCACGCGGGCTCACGATTTATCTAAAAATTGAAAAACTTGCCATGACGCGGGCCGACGATTTAACTAGAGATTGAGTTAGAAAGATCTCACAAAGGGTCCTTAAGCAACTTCAATTCATTTTCAATTTTCAAGCCTTACTATGCTTTGTAATTTTTAGATTTTTAACCCTTTTATGCTTAGCTTAACTCCTTGCTTTGAATTTTCCTTTGCTCAACTTCCTTTGCTTAATTCACCTAGCCAAATAAGAACAAACACAATAAGTAACTAAAAATAAAGTAAAGAAAAGAAAGACACGATTAAAAGAGTACTAATTCCTAATTGTTTCCAAAACACGGCTTTGCCAACTCAATCCCCGTCAACGGCGCCAAAAACTTGGTGTTCTGTCGTAGGGTACAACCAAATTTGTGCAAAATAGTATGGCCAAGTTTTAAATTTATAAATGCCACTACTACCACTAACTAAAAATATAGCTAGGGTGAGTAGGGATCATCCCAAGGGATTGTGGGTGCACTAGCAATGGAAACAATATATAGGGTTAATAGGTCGAGTGATCAAAGGAAGATTGTTTGGCTGATTAAAGTATGATGCAATTAAAATTAAAGCAAGCAAAAGTAACAATTTAGAAAGTAGGGAAAGAAATATAGAGTGGAGGACTTGGGGTCCTAGAGCTCACCACCAAGCTTGACTTCTCTAGACACTAGCAATTGTATATCAATGGGGAAATTGAATTATAACTTGTGGGTGTGTGTAACATTAATTGAAACTAAGTATGGATGGCAAATAAGTATAGGTTGTCTAGCCAATTCAAATGGAAAGCACAACCTATCAAATAAGACCAAAATTCATTCAATGAAACCACAATTTATGCACACACAACTATCTAGAAATATACATCATTTGCATTCATAAGTATGGAACACCAAGGAACAAGAATAGATTGTCCACCTATCTATGAATCTAAAGCAACTACATTACATCTACACTAAAGACATGGAAATTAAACTAAGTAAGCTAAAAGT